TTAAACCCAGCCCTACTTGCAGCCTATTGGTGATTTAACTACATGTTTTTATGTGAACCAAAAGTGTGTTACTCTGTATTTAATGTGCCTTATTGTATCTTTATTTCAGACATATACAGAAAAAAACAATATATACACAAGTACACATACTTGCATTTACAAAAACGAATATATATGTAAATACACACAGGTATGTGCTCAGATAAAACAAAATAAATAAAATAAAAGTCTAAATGACATGAAATGACAATTATTAAGTCTGAAATGGAAGAAGTATAACATACCTATTAATCCCTACCCCATGCTCAACCTTCTATTGAATCCCACGATTCACCTAATTCCCATCATCACTTACCCCACACAATAAACAAGGAGAACATGTATAAACATAGCTACAGTGATAGATACAATTTAGCATAGTTATATATACAATGGGTGATCAACTTGACCAGTTTCATATTCTTCCAAATGTTATGTTGTTTTGTGTGAGACATACGTTTAAACATTTGCTATTGAGACCATGTATCCCCCCCAAGTAGGAAGGCCTCCAAAGGGAGGAATAAACTCCAACAAAGGAAGAACATCATCAGCTTGTGTTTACTGTGACATGGCAAAGTACATGCGCCTGTTTCACAAAGCAGGTTTAGCAAACTTTCATGTTTGACGAGATACGGATCTTTGACATGTTTGGCTCATGCCCGGTCTTGAATAAAGCAAAGTAAAATAAAAGCATGCACTATAAGAAGCATTTTAAATCTTACTTTGGGGAAAAGACATCTAACTTTTTAAGTGTCTTTATCAGATTTGACTGTACTTCTCAACATGGAGTTTTTATGTCCCACTGACAGAAGTAAAAGTACCAGCATTCTTCTCATTCATGTAGATTGGAACTTCAAATTAAATTCCCAAATAACTGCCAGAGGCAAACATTATGCAACAGTGATAAGCAGTGGTAGCATTGACAAGGCCTTTGGTTTAACTTTCACCTCTGAGATGGAAACATGTTCAGTTGTAGAAGAGCTGAACAGGACACTGGTGAGACTGTCACTAGCAGTTCCACCAGATGTTCCTCTGCTGGTGAAAACGGCATCGGGTCTTTTGTTTTTCATGGAAGCCACGTCAGGCTGCACAGAGCACATGAGGAGAGTATGAGTTAGACACTGGAACAACAAAGAGAAGCTCTTAACTTTTCAAAATAAAAGACCCATACAGACTAAAGACTGCTTCCTAAACACTGCTGGCTTGATTTTTGTTTTGGGGGATCTGACTGACAGCATAACAGTGTCTCCAGTGTCCACAGAGCCAGTGTTGGAAAGAAATGTTGCACGCTATGAAGAAATCTTAGTTGTCACTGTCCTGCATTTGTAGGCTGAAAACACTTGTTGTGTATTAGACTGATTATTTTAGATTTCATTATTTCTAAAGACGTGAACTGCGAGCTCGGAAAAGGAAGTTGTTTTAACCAAACTGACAGCAGGGTGGTTTCAGAGGCAGTTTCCTTAGGTTGTTTTTGGGACAAATCTCACGTGTTTTCTTCACAGTTAACAGGATTTTATTAAACCTGTGCTCTTGAACAGAGTTTAGTTTTTGGTAGTTTTAAAACAGAGGCAACAACCACCGTGTTACAGTTAACTCTAATTGTTGAGCTATACCAGGCAGCATGCACACACGTGCAGTGATCGCTGTAGTCTCCTGATCATCTGTTTATTTGGTGTGTGTCTTCCACAGGTGGAGAGAATTTGCTGGCACCACCAGTACTCCAACTGTATCACACCTCCTCCAGCCCTCTGACGTCACAGCGGTGGGACTGAGACTGTGGACTGCAGCGTGTGTTCTGCAGCGTAACTTAAGAATTGTATTGCACATTAATTTCATATTCAGAGAAATGATACATGTGGCACTTTATGTCCAGCACTACAGATCTGCATCTGTGTTCAGTTGATCTCACTGATAACTGTTGTAATCTACACCAGAAGAGCTCATGAATGTTCAAAGAATGCTTAAGTGAAAGGGGAAATCGCCAGCAGGTACCTGTTTCTGTTTTCTTCTTGTTTGTGGGACTACTCTTCCCATGAGACAGTCACTTGATTTGAGACCAGCCGATTGCCTCCAGTGCGTTGTGTTGGTGAGTAGAACAGCAAATCTTAGAGAGGACAGATGCAGCATTTATGAAGAGAGCCTCACTGAGACACTTTAGGTGAAGCAGAAATATCTTTGGGTCTCTTAAACACAGCGAGGAGCAGGAATAAACTCTGAACAGAAGTCTTACTGAACAGCACCACCGACAGTTTGCGCCTGCATCCACTGGCCAGTTTTAGTGTGCCTCCTAATGTTTAGCTCTTCTGACCGTGTTCATTGTGTGGGGGGCAAATTTAAATCTGCCGTATGGCCCCGCTCAGTTTGAACTCAATTGAAGCTTGGCCATGTACATTTGCTTGACTTTAACCTTTGTTCCAACACAGCTGATTTAAATGACCTCAACATGTCTTGAAGTTCTTCAGAGGCTGGTAATGAACCAATCATCTGACTCAGGTGTGCTGACCCAGGGTGAGATCTAAAACCTGCAGGACACCAGCTCTCAAGGCCTGGAGGTCCCCACCCCTGGTTTAGACTCTGTGATGGTACTGACCTGTGACTTTGAGCTTGTATCCAGGACACCGTACCGGCTCACTCAGTGGAACAGGGAGCTAATGTGAATGTTTGTGTCGCCTGCAGGAGATCCGAGCTAGTAGCAAACACCACTGGTGAGCTATAGCTACTCAAGACGCGCACACTACAGCATAGACCACAGGTGTTGAACTCCAGGCCTCGAGGGCCGGTGTCCTGCAGGTTTCAGATGTCTCCTTGATCCAACACAGCTGATTCAAATGGCTAAATGACCTCCTCAACATGTCCTGAAGTTCTCCAGATGCCTGCTAATGAAGTAATCATTTGATTCAGGTGTGTTGACCCAGGGTGAGATCTAAAACCTGCAGGACCCCGGCCCTCGAGGCCTGGAGTTCGACACCCCTGGCATAGACTGTATTAAAGCCAAGAGTAGTCTGCAGTTTAAATTTCTTTTTTTAGACAAAGAGCAAAAGACTAATGAAATCTAATTCAGATCTTTCCTTTCAAGTCATAAAGGAAGTAGCTTCAGCATGGAGATGGTTGCTGTTCGTTTATAAGAGATCAGATGTTCGGTGAATCAAACAGCAGGTCTACCTGAGCTGTGGAAGCTTCTGCAACCTTGGCATGCATTTGCAGCCGATGCTACATTCAAACTATGAACTGGTTGAAGGAGCAGTACACTCATTGTTGCTTTCTGTGAGGGATGTGTGAGATTCTGGGAACCGGCACAATACCAGCAGCTGACTTTAAAGTATTTTGTGTGTACACTTAGATTCTGCCTTTTGTTGTTTTCTGTGCCATGATATATACTCACAACGTAGGGCGCACTTTCCCTCCACAGAAATGTCACGGAGGGCTTTTCCATTTACCACTACTCTCGTATATATTACTGTGTTTAAGTATGTGCCGCCGAACCGTTTATTCCAGTAACACTTATGGACTTCAGCTCCATCAGCCTGTGCGATGATGAAGCCTTTGGGCAAAATTAACTGAAGTATTTGTGTCTTATTTGTGCATGACGTATAACAAAACTACAGAATTCTTATTGATGAAAATATAGCGTAAAATCAAACCCTTACTGACACTGCACTTCACAGCACAACAGGGTTCAGAGTCTGCTGATAGTTTAAAGTAGGAGATGCAAATCTGCTGCTTTTCCTCGTCTTACTGTAACATAGAAGAGTCCTCAGAGGATGCAGCTTTAAAGGGCATCATTGGATCCTTTGGCCATGCTATATTTGTCCATCACAATTCAAATAATGATATGGTATTTTTTCCTTAATCTTACAATCTTAATCTTGCTTTTTTCCAGTTTTTGGCCACATAATGAAATATTTAAGTGTTTGAAAATGTTTGATTTTATAATATTGTTCAAGTAAACAGGTTACACCAAATCTTTACAAGTCTATGTGTATACTTCTTTGTTATTGTATTAATCACTTGCCTGATGCTGATCCCTTGTGTCAACCTGGAAGGAACAAAGCAGGGAACGATTTCTAGCTGCCATCCTTCTCAGCTGAAATCTTGAAACTCTGGTGGTTGGTTATGTGGATTGTGCTGGAACGACCGTTTGTAGCCAGAGTGCAGGACCACACTGAAGTCTTTGCATGTAATAGCCAGCTAAACCTGATTGTTTTAAATGATTGATGCATTTGTTTCCATTCATGCTGGGAAATGTACTTGCACAGAGCTGATGACCTTTTTTAACTGCCAGAATTAATTAAGTGGTCAGTGCGTTCTTCAAATCAGATGTGTAACACTGATGCTACTCTGACAAGTGACCTAAAAGCATCCTAAGCTTGAACCTCTGTAGCCTGTAGTTAGTTTCTACAGATGATTGATACCTGCCACATCACGCTGTAAAGTCACCAGGAGCCATCATATGAAATTAAATCTGCATTAGAAAAGACTCTTGGGTAGATTCAAACAATAAATTCTAAGGTATTTTTTACTGTGGGATGTTGATGATGTAATAGTCTGTAGGCCAAAGTTAGCTGTGTTTAGTAGATCATGAAGAATGAAAAGATTCCGTTTTAAATCTCGGCTTGATTGTGACTCGAGTCTGACAAACTACTTTAAGGCAGGGCTCACATGAAGGAGCAATCTTTATTTGTCCTATTTCCTGCGAAACACATCTTACTCTTTATCTGGTTAGTATTACACACACGTGAGTTTGGGTTTTTTTACACACTTTTACGAGTCCCATTTCTGTCTCTAGGCTCTAGACCTAGGAAAGGAACTCCCCTGTACTGTGATTGGTCAAAATACATAAATACTGCAGAGAGAGGGCCATTCAGAAACCTTTCATTAACATTTCAAATGTTAATGCACACATCTCACCCTTCAAATGGAACAAATCATGGAGTCGTGAACAAAGACTTTACAGTGAAAGTTTGGCTTTTCCACCGACCACTAGGTGGCACTGGTGTCACTTGAGCGTTCACAATCATTGGGCCTTTAAAGGCTAAAAAACAAAGCAGCCAGGAAGCAGCTGCTTGCTTCTACTGGAAAGAAATAATGATAGCAACAGAACAGTGAAGCAATGTAGGAAGTCACAGTACTGAAAGTGCAAAGTTGCAAATAACTTTAAGCTGTAATGTTTTTGTCAGTTGATGTTGGACATGTCTCCACCATTCACCAACAGGAAACTCGAATCAGCTGTCAGCACACTGGCCAACCTTTAAACCTTAAGCCAGTTCAAGGTGAGGCTGAGGAAGTGACTGAGAAGCATGACAACCATGTGTTTCCACAGTGGAAGCTACAATTGAGGTGTTTTTATCTTGTCAGGTCTGTTACTGTGGGGTCTTTACTGAAAGTGGATTTTACACACAGATTTGTCCTTTAGTCCACTGGGGAGACCTGATGGGACATGACTAAACATTCCTGTGTCACACATCAGTACGACATTTTTAATCACAGTTCAAAACTTTAATTCACATTAAATCTGATCTCAGTGTATTCATTGTATATGTACAGAAAGTTGCAATACTGTTACAAGAACAATGTACATATGTAACAATGTGTGTGGGCAGTACAGGAAATGTTGGTGGAGATGATGTGAATATAACCCACGGTCTGAACCCATCCTGGATGAGGATGATGATGATGGAGTGTCACAGCAGAGACGTCAGAAAAATAAGCCTGGGCCAGCTTCACCCCCCCCCCCCGTGCCACGTTAGGCAGTTACATGTGTACACTCTGGTCAGCAACGAACCTCAAATCATGTAAAGCTCTGTCTTTATTTACCTCACAGCGAGGAAACCAGCGAGCACAGCAGGAAAAGCACAAACACCCCTCGCCCTCACCGAGGCTTTGTTTTCTGGCTGACATGCAGCTCAGGAACGTGAACACTGTAGTGAATCAGTGCACACACACAACTAATTACTTTTCCATGCTGCTGCTGACAGCCACTGCTGAGCCTGTGAACGCCACGCCTACCAAAGGAAAAGAAAAATGAAAAAGCAGTTGTACTCAAATCTCAAGTGGGCAGACTGGTTTTATCCAGTGGACACGAAGGATTTAAACAACCAAACAAAACTAAACCCATGAAAGTGTTTAAAGGTAAAACAGACCCCGCCTCCTCCTTCTGAGTTAATGAGCTTTGGTCAGAATACAGAGTGATTGTAAATAAGAGGCGGAGAGCTAAAGTTTTGAAGTAAGTATCTCCTCCAGGCCTCCATTCTTCAGATCTAGTCTGACTAATCCAGGCTTACATGATCCTGACCAAATCAGCTTACTTCAGTTCATCCAACATTAACATCCTCATCACACATGAAACTGTCTTCAAGAATCCAACTAGCTAAAACAATACCGATTTTGAAAGTGACTCCCAATGACATTAAAGGTTTTTTAAAAAGAAAACAAGCCTATAATCAGTAAATTCTGAAATATATAAGCTTAGTTAATATTTGTATTTATAACCAGCTCACTGCCAAAGTCTCTGATAAAAATCATGGGACACAAAACAAGATGGACTTGTGTGACTAATCTGCAAACTCTAGTTATACAACAGTAGTTAGAAACTCATTTAAAGCAGTTTTGTATGTAAATTGAAACATTTTAGCATGCGTATGTACTCATGATTAAACTGTGTTTATTTACTATATTTCAATAATCTAAATGTTTGACTTTATTTTTCCCTCACTTTGTTTTTGTAGAGCTACTTCCTAATACAGTAAAAGGTGGTACTGATTATGGGGAACACTTTACAGAAAGGCACTAATCCTGCAAAATACTTTTGAATATGGGTCCATTTGAATGGGATACACTAATTCGTATCTGCTGCCTCTATTAGTTAGTTTGTGTTATTGTGAGCATGCCTTCCATAGCCTAATGATATGGAGAGAGATTTACCTGATAAGGGTTGCCAATGTGTACAATATGATCCACAAGAGAAAACTAACACTTACAAATCTGTGCAGTAATTTGTGTGCAACTTTTCATTAGCACACACTTCAATCCACACACAAATACAAGCAATCTGACCACATGTAAAACTATTCTAAAAATTCATGCATCAGAACCTCAATACATTCTGATCATTTACACGCAGTTCATTAAGATCAGCTTCACAAATCCTATAACTCCACCTTTCAAAAACCTTTCTGTGTGTGTCGAAAACTACACGTAACATTTCTCTCACTTACTCAAAAAACCTTAAATACGTTTGGATGAGTCCCCTGATACGCACAGATCACATCGCATGCCCATGTGGGGTAAGCCTGCATCGGCTTCCCTTCATTGGCTTCCTGTTAAATCCAGAATTCAAAATCCTGCTCCTCACATACAAGGTCTTAAATAATCAGGCCCCATCTTATCTTAATGACCTTGTAGTACCATATCACCCTATTAGAGCACTTCGCTCTCGCTCTGCAGGCCTACTTGTTGTTCCTAGAGTATTTAAAAGTAGAATGGGAGGCAGAGCCTTCAGTTTTCAGGCCCCTCTTCTGTGGAACCAGCTTCCAGTTTGGATTCAGGAGACAGACACTATCTCTACTTTCAAGATTAGGCTTCAAACTTTCCTTTTTGCTAAAGCATATAGTTAGGGCTGGACCAGGTGACCCTGAATCCTCCCTTAGTTATGCTGCAATAGACGTAGGCTGCCGGGGGATTCCCATGATGCACTGGGTGCTTCTTCTTCACTCACTATGTGTTAACAGACCTCTCTGCATTGAATCATATCTGTTATTAACCTCTGTCTCTCTTCCACAGCATGTCTTTATCCTGTCTTCCTTCTCTCACCCCAACCAATCACAGCGGATGGCCCCGCCCCTCCCTGAGCCTGGTTCTGCCGGAGGTTTCTTCCTGTTAAAAGGGAGTTTTTCCTTCCCACTGTCACCAAAGTGCTGCTCACAGGGGCTCATATGATTGTTGGGTTTTTCTCTGCATGTAGTATTGTAGGGTCGACCTTACAATATAAAGAACCTTGAGGCGACTGTTGTTGTGATTTGGGGCTGTGTAAATAAAACTGAACAGAACTGAATGAGCTGTTCTGTTTATTTAGAAAAAGACACGCAGGTCTACACTTGAAGCAGTTTTACACTGGGAGCTTGGTGCATCTCATATTTGTGGATCTGTGCCAAGCTGGCACGGCTAAATCTGTCTCAAAACCCCACGTTGGTGTGCGAGGTGATCTGTGCACATCAGGCGATTCCACACATATGCAATGTTTTTAAATGAGTGAGAGAGATGTTACGTGTAGACATTTGTACACACAAAGGTTTTTGAAAAGTAAAATTATTGGATTCGTAAAGCTGAACTTAATAAACTGTGCATAAATAATCGTATTTATTCAGGTCTGGGTATACGCATTTGTAAAATGGTTTTCATGTGGTCAGATCGCTTCATATTTGTCTGTGGTGCCCCTGAAAAGTTGCACACAAATTATTGTACACATTTGTAAATGTTAGTTTACGCTTGTGGATCGTATTGTACACAGAAGCAAATTTCTCTCCATACAGTGAAGATATAGAAAAGCAGCTCACACAAGCCCACCTCAGTGAACCAAACTGTATTCAGAGCCTTGGCTCATATGTTCAGCATTCGCTGTAAATCTGGTGAACAGCTCAGAAAAGACAAATATGAAGCTAATCTAAATGTTCAGTATTTAACTCGCTGGGCTCAGGTACATGTCAAATATGGACGAGTTCAGAATTAAGAGCAGCAAATAAATTAGAAAACTACATTTTAAAAAAACAATATGCTGTATTATATACATTTAACTCTGCGAGCAGACAGCATTTAATGGCCTCTTTCTGCTGTCACCTTTTCCAAACTGATGCCTTGCAGTCAGAAAGTCCCACATGCTGCTGGGGAGAGTCAGCACTCCTCTGATGTATTCAGAACCAATCACATTGCTACTAATGACTACTTTTGGAATGATTTAAAGCTCTACGAAGTAACAGGAAGTAATGCGACTGTTATAGAGCTGTGAAGCTCTTCTGGGTGCACTGTGGAATCTGCAGACATAACTTTTCTGGAAAAATGAAAATCGATTTTACAAGTTTTATTTTTCTTTTCTAAATAATCCTTTCAAACCTCCACATCATGGGGTTGATACGCATCACCTAGATGATGACCATAAAGGAGCCCAACCTGCCAGCACAACTCAATAAAACCAAACAAAGGAAAGAATAAAGTTCAAAGCTCAGAGCTTATTTTCCTAGTATGTTAGGTCGGCAGATAAGGCTGAGCAGTGATGTCATGCACACCGAGTGGAGCTGATTGGAAAAACGCTGAAACTGTCATTTGATTTCAATTAGAATCACAATTTGAACGTGTTGCCAGTCTATGCTTCATATTTAAGTTGGCACAATAGCAAACACGCTTTGAGGTCGGCAAAGTATTTTCCACGAGCCCGTGACGTGGCCATGACTTTCCCCGAGAGGAGCAGCAGCACAGAGGCTGCCGTCGTGCGGCAGCAGCTGGGACTTTCAGACTCGGGCTGAAGCCCGGTTGTCAGGCCTGAACCTCAGTGATGAAACTAAACTAAAACAAGAGTGCAGTTTGTTTGTTTTTAATGTGTCATTGTCGTGGCGCCAAAGAGCCCTCAGACCACACAATCAGCCCTGCTTTTTGTTAGTGCGAGTGCGACCCCCCAGAGTTTGGGGGTACTGTAGTCCCCCCACCCCCCGTCTGTCCATGGCCTCTCCTGCCGTGGCCCAGGATACAGTGAGCGCTGCCGCAGCCTTCGTCGTCGTCGTCTCCCTCGCTCTCGGAGGAAGATTCTCCAAACTGTCGGGGCTTCTCGTAAATGCAGCAGCCTGAAACACAACAAGCAGCTCATGATGCCACAGGCTCAGATGAAGCGCCAAGTTCGTCATTTCAAAATTAAAAATACTTTCACTTCAGAAACAGTAACTGCAGGAGCGTGTGATTAAACACATACTGTGTCTTTGATGTAGTAAGTGTGCAGAAGGTGGATGCTGAGGCAGGAGTCCGTGGTCTACTCAGGGCTTTAGCTGCATTTTAGTGCATGTTACACATGTGCACGGTACTGAGAAAGATTAAGGCTATTAAAGTTAATTAGCTGAGCCTCGATTATGTCATGGGGAAAGTAATGAGATGCAATGCACCGTGACACGCTGAAGCACGTTCGGTACAGCTACTACTTGTTGTAATTACTTCATGCGTGTCATATACTGCAGTTAAACAGGAAAACCACGTGTACTGTACAGTCACTCGTGGTGCGCAGGTGTATATGGTCCAGGCTTTATAAATAAGTGTGCATCATTTGACTGAGTACAGTCTCTGCTGTGGACACACAGTTTCAACCATGCTGAGGGGAAATTAATGATACAAAAATAAATAAATAAAAAGAATCATATGGAAAGCAGGGGTGCAGCGCGGCAGTACAAACGGTGCTGGGCAGCATAGCCAGTGTACTTTGTTGTCATTTCAAACTGGTTTTTCTTTTTCTTGCTTCCTTTCCTGATAATAAAATCACACAGTTCAGAGGAAAACGTCCAAATCGAGTTTCTTTCCAGGACAAACTTCATGAAACAGCTTTTTCAGGATTGACTCTGCAGCCCGGTGCCAAATATTCCATTGTTCCACACTCAGCATAAGAGTAAAATATCAGCTGTGTTGTTTTTGTGATTTAGTTTTAATTGTTTTATGATGACTTTCAATTATTTCATATTCTGCAGAATCCCAACAGACGAGCCACTGGACGCCCACAGAAAATCCCACTGAGAACACCCACCCCACTGTGAAACCACCACAATCATAAAATATACCACAGTGCAAGTTTTGGCACTGAACCTAAACAGTAAAAGAAAAAGTACATCCAATACGTTTGCATTTGTTCCTCCTAAAACGTGACAGAGCAAAACACTGAAAACTGGTGGCAGACATATTTGAAATGCTTAATTACATTTCTCAGCCTGTGTGCTACGGAGAAAGATAAACTCACACTTTGAAGACCTTCTTCCCAAATGCTCGTTGTCGACAGTGTCACTGGACCACTCCACCTTCTTCTCAGTCTTCCTCTTCCTCAACTTGATTGTCAAGCTTCGTCCCTCCTGTAACATGTAAGAGGTCTACTGTGAGACATCGCAAACAAACCACAGAGTGAACTGTGACCTGCAGTCACACTCAATGACATCTATCATTTGTAGGACCTTCTTGTTGTCTCTATGGCGTCATGGGCATGCTATTGTGTCCTGCTCTCTGAAAAGTAAAACTTGTCCTTGCTCAGGTGATGGAGCAGGTCACCTACTAATCAGAGGGTTGGTGGTTTGATCCCTGTCTGCTGCAGATACTAACCCCAAGGACTTATTCCTCTGATGTATCGGACTCTAAATGTGTATGGATGTTAGACAGATACAAGTGCTAATTGGCTAAGTTGTGGAAAGTGCTTTGACTGCTCAGAGCAGAAGCGTCTATAGCCAAACACGAGTATGCCTCTTAAATCCTTTAAGACTTCTTCTTATTTAAAAGTCAAACATGACTATGCACATATTTAAAAAGAAATAAAAATGCGCAACAAATTAAAAAGTCAAGCCGTGAGGGTTGGGAGGGGTTAATAACAAACTATTAAAGAGCACCTGCCTCAGAAATGACACAAAGCTGGGGTTACCGGGCATGTACGCTAGCAGAGACCATCCCTTTGCCCCGTGGTGCCTACAGATGGGCCTGTCTGCGCTGCATCTAAACCCATTCTAACCGACTATGGGGATTTCAGTTAATGGAGGTCTGACTGTTTATCTGAGCAGGACAACTTGAAATATGATTTGAACAGAGTGTATTTAACATGTAAACCGGATGCTCCTGCTGCTTTAGACATTATGCAACAATACTACAGATTCGGGTTGTTAATTGAAAGCTGTTTAACTTTCACACAGCAACGCGGAGCTATTCAGCACTTAGCCCGCTATCGGCTTTCCATAATGCTACCGCGCTACTAGCAGCCCTGTCATTTAAATAAGCCTAACGTAACTAACATATCAGGCCTCACGAAGCTTCCCCCGTAATAACATGAACGCTGTATCTTTAATGTACACTGTCACTGGCTGCCAGAGCGGTCCAACTGTCTCACGAACAGCTGTCCATCGTTTACCTGCTGGGGCGGCGGCGGCGTGCTCGTCTGAACGGTCTCCGTTATGGTCTCACTGGATGTTCCTGGAACCTCCGCCATCCCTGCAGCTGCTTTGCTAACGCTACCGTTAACTAGCTTAAAGATCCAAAAGAAACGAAGCAGAGCGTCAAAAATGAGCGACACCGCGTTAGTCGACAGCTAACCGACTAACCTTCCGCTCTTTAACTCCAAAAATCGCACTGAATGGAAAAATGTCAACCCACAGTTACGAGGTGTGGGACAGCGGTGGCTACAGTCAAAGCACAAAACGCGTTAGCCAGGGTCGGAACGGAAACGTACGGCTCCTCGTTACAACTATCAGCTATGGGAACCATCATCACCCACAAAAATAATCACATGACAGTAGTCGCTGGGCTACATCATTATATTATGTGTAGAATTAAAATGGTTTAGATAGTTAAGTGGATAGAAAACTCTGTTTCCACAATTTATTTTATTTTTAAACTCGGGAAGCATGTTCCGGTTCCTCTTAGCTTTAACTTGAAACGCTGTGGGGAAGATATTTCCAGACGGACCAAGTGCGTTTCCTGTTGTCCGTGAAGATATAATAGCCCGTCAACAAACAGCACCAAACCATACTGGAACATCGTTTTGTCACGGATTTAATCTTGTGTAAAGCTTCCATACAAACGTCTCCCCTCAGGTTGGCAGGGACAAAGTAGTGACGTTACACTGCTGTGGCTGGCATGCGTGGGCATTCTAGCGTGTAAAGTCACCGAGGATGTGGAGGACAGGTCCTGGTCCGAGTCTGAGGAGGGCAGCCAGACTCTGTTCCAGCACCCCACCTAAAGCTTCTCACACAAACAAACTTCGACCCCACGCCGAGAAGCAGAGGCGCAGACGAGTGCGGGAGGAGGGCATCCTATCGAGTCAGCATGGTGTAAGTTAGAGGGAGGCAAAGCACTAAGGCCAAAGCTCTCTGCCAAATCCCCCAAGGAAAGAGTACTAGTGCGTTTGTGTGTATGTTTACAGATATACTGGCATCGTTGTATTGATAATAACAACAATAATGTAATAGTTTAATGCTGCACTCATTAGTTACCTCTGCCTCCCATTCTACTTTTAAATACTCTAGGAACAACAAGTAGGCCTGCAGAGCGAGAGCGAAGTGCTCTAATAGGGTGATATGGTACTACAAGGTCATTAAGATAAGATGGGGCCTGATTATTTAAGACCTTGTATGTGAGGAGCAGGATTTTGAATTCTGGATTTAACAGGAAGCCAAAACAGGAGAAATCTGCTCTCTCTTTCTAGTCCCTGTCAGGACTCTTGCTGCAGCATTTTGGATCAGCTGAAGGCTTTTCAGGGAGTTTTTAGGACTTCCTGATAATAATGAATTACAGTCGTCCAGCCTGGAAGTAATAAATGCATGAACTAGTTTTTCAGCGTCACTCTGAGACAGGATATTTCTAACTTTAGAGATGTTGCACAAATGGAAGAAAGCAGTCTTACATATTTGTTTAATATGTGCGTTGAAGGACATGTCCTGGTTTAAAATGACTCCAAGGTTCCTCACAGTGTTACTGGAGGCCAAGGTAATGCCATCCAGAGTAAGAATCTGGTTAGATACCATATTTCTAAGCTTTTCAGGGCCGAGTACAATAACCTCAGTTTGATCTGAATTAAGAAGCAGAAAGTTAGCGGCCATCCAGGTCTTTATGTCTTTAAATGATGCTTTCATTTATTAAAGTTATTCAAACCTGCACAGCCATGTGTGAAATCAGTGGCTGTTCGTGCTGGAAAATCTGTCCAATGTGTCTGAATGGAAACAATCATGCAAAGCAGAGTGGGCTAAAATTCCTCCACAGTGATGTGAAAGAGTCCTTGGCTGTTAACTCAAACACTCGATTGGACGTCTTGAGGGTAGCACTACCAGTTATTGGGTTTAGGGGACAATTACTTTACACACTGTTGTGTTTCAACCGTGTTGACTTGTGACTTGTTCAGTGCTGTGCTAATGCACTCCATGATGTCATAAATATAGTTATGAGAGATACGATAGCTAAAGCTGCCAGTCAGACACGCTCTGATGTTTCTGTTTGCAGAGTGCTGAAGGTAAAGCAGTAAAGTGGAGTGAGAAGCAGAAGATTGCTTACACTGCTCCTACACCTCCTGGGGCAAAGAAAGGTGACTCTCCTGTAACCTCTGCTGGGTCGGCTGTCTCTTCTCCTCACAGGCTCTGAAAGTCCTTCTTCTTTTTCCCTGCAGACACTAGCTTACCGTTCCCATCGTGTTACAGTCCGGAGTATGTGGAGTCCAGCTGGTATCAGTGGTGGGAGAAAGAGGGATTCTTCAGTCCTGAGCAACATGTAAACATGTGAACTTGTTAAATCATTACTGTTGCAGTTAAAATGAATTCACTTTAATGCAGTTTCTATGAAACAAACTGAGTAAGTGGTTAATCAGCTAAGCTTTAATGCTAATGCTAATAATAGCAAATAAATACTTTTTATTTAGTGATGCAGAAAATGGATGAACTGTTTGAGAGCACTGATCAGAAAACATACATTTGTATTTGTCACAGTTACTTCTACTTTGGTCATATTTTCAGGCATCCAAAGTGACCTTTATGTCCTTTCTGACCTTGTCCTGCCAGCAGTGCGCTCTTTATTTGCTGTAAAGCAGTTTGTTTTTTCTACAATAATTATTTTTATTGTAGAAAAAATATTGCTTTGCTTCTTCTGTCCCTTTGACAGGAGAAGGCAGGTTGCTGTGATGTCCTCCTGTGTTGTTTTTGTTTTTCTCTCAGCAGGTGATGAAGCAGATTTTCAGTGGGTTTTTCCCCTCCCTCTTCATCTCGAGTTTTTCCTCCTCTTCTCCCCAACTTCTCTGTCCCTCATCTTTCCCGTCCCTCAGTCCTGCCCGTTCTAATTGCAATAACTTAAAATAAATAAATAAATAATAATAAAGGTAGAATAAAATATGACAATCATGTGGACCGGTATGGTAAAAGCCATAACGATCTATTTGGGAAAATAAATCTGTTGTGCATTTTTCTGGGCCTTCAGAGGATCACTGTGATTGTAAAAACAGAAAAGTGCGTCTTCCTGAGATGTGATCACACTGCAAGCCTGACCACCTCAGATTTGGTCAGAGTGATCTGATTGTATTCAAGTTATCCAGGTAAAGGTGGCACGACGAGGAGCAAAAGAGACATCAGTCTCAAAGGTCCACCTTAATGTTCAGTTTCATTTGAATCTGAACATGTTTTTTTAATCCTTAGAAGTCAAGTCAATATTTTCAATAATTAGAAAGTATACGTTACTAAAGCACGAGCAACAGCACTGCGAGATATTTGATTACAGCGAAGGAAAACGTTGTTCTGTAGAGTGAGTGTGCACACATGCACGCCAGTAACGTGTTTCCCTTCCTGCTCTCAGGAACGGCTGCCCCACGCTGTGGATCAGACCTTCTCTCTGTGTATTCCTCCACCAAACGTGACTGGTACTCTGCACCTGGGCCACGCTCTGACAGTAGCTGTAGAGGATGCGCTGGTTCGATGGTAACTATCAGCAGCAGAGCAGCATGTTGTCTTTGTTCTCTGAGCTCACGTGTTGATGGTTTGTATCCATCAGGAGACGGATGCAGGGCTGCAGAGTGCTGTGGGTGCCTGGATGTGACCATGCAGGTATCGCAACGCAGGTACGCGTGATGACGGTTTGGCTCACATGTTCTCAGGTGTCCCTCAGAGTAACATCAAAATATGGAAACTGCTAAAAATCACACATTTATATCGTGATAGTGGCACATGCTCAGTGCTGAGAGTGTCGATGTGCTCGTGGTTTAGACGGTGGTGGAGAGGAGACTGCTGAGGCAAACAGGGAAGCACAGACGAGACTTTACGAGGGACGAGTTTCTGGAGGAGGTGTGGAAGTGGAAGAATGAGTGAGTCTTCACATCTGGACTTCTGAGCACATCTGCTGTGTGGCCTGCACGGTGTTTGCTGAGTTTTGAGCCTCTGTTGCAGGAAAGGAGACGAGATCTACCACCAGCTGAGGAAGCTTGGAGCTTCTCTGGACTGGAGCAGAGCCTGTTTCACCATGGACCCAGTAAGAAACTGTACAAATAACTGCAGCAGCGGTACAAAGAGAGACGAATATGAAACTGTGGTGTGATGTAAGCACATACACCACATACACACGATGGGTAGAGATGAGTCATTCCCAGCGTCCCTGTTTCCAGTAAGGCAGATTTATTTATTTGTAGCCATCTCTGCCTCCTCACCACGGCACACGCAGGCTCGTCTAAACGAGAAATCGCACCATCCTGTGGCCTCTCCAGGAAAATGAAAGTGCCGTAAGAATTGCAGAGTGAAACACTGAAGCTGAGCTGTAAAGCTGCAGTGGTGAATGGGGGAAAGTCCTTCAACTGTTTATCCTGCTTTTGTGATTTGATTTCAGGGTTTTAGCAGAGCTGTAACTGCAGCGTTTGTCCGACTGTGTGACTCTGGTCTAATTTATCGCTCAGAGGGTTTGGTCAGCTGGAGCTGTGCCCTGGAATCTGCCATCTCTGACATAGAGGTGAGACAGCTTTACATAAATGGATAGCAAATACAGCAAGTGGACAGAATAATAGAGACGGTAATGTGTCTTCTCCCCAACCTAAAGTTACTCGTATCCAGGGGTCCAGACAGCTTTCAGATTGATTAACAACTTGTATATAAGTGGCTTTTTTATATAAGAACGTGTACAAGGTTTGATTTTGCTTGTTCCTTAGCACATGGACGTTAATGTCATATCTAAAACTAAAGGTTATGGGAAGAACTCAGAGACCATGTGTGTGCTGAAAACAGTACCAAACCTGCTCTTTGCCTCCACGTGAACAATAAAACCTTCAGCATGTGTTTGCATGTCTAATGCTACAGTCTGATAATGTGGAGCTCACATGAGCACTCGCTGTACGCTTTTTAGATGAGCTACAGAGCAGAGTGTGCCTCTGATATAATATCACTTGAACTCATCATCAGGTGGACTCGAAGGAGCTCTCCGGCCGGACCATGTTGTCTGTTCCTGGCTATGAACACAAGGTGGAGTTTGGATCGATGCTGAGCTTTGCGTACCCCGTAGAAGGCCACGGTGCGTGTCGGGACCGTCCTGGGACATGGTGTGTCCTGTATTTTGTACATTGATCCTCTTCTCTGTATTTTAGACACGGAGGTGGTGGTGTCCACCACCCGTCCAGAGACTATGCTGGGAGACGTGGCCATAGCTGTTCACCCTGATGATCCTCGATACCAGGCCAGTTGTTTATGTTAGATACTCTGGGAGTGTCTCAGTGGGAGTGTTTGACAATATTTCAGGACAAGCGACAATAAACAGTACAGATCTCCTACACCGCTCAGTGTGTTGTAACATCAGAGAGCTGAA